TATATATATATATATAATCATACAGTATACAATCTATACACTCTATAATAGATAGATAGGTGCATTTATAGATAGATAGCGCACTTTATTTTTCCCTGAGGGAAATGTACAGTCACCTATTCACATCATATTTGTAAAATGAATCATTAGCTCTTAATTATTCATTTCCTGTGTGAGAATAGATTGCCATTTGGGTGTTCATCAAGTGTGTGAAACGTGGGTGGTCAGTGGCAAATGTGAAGAAGAAAAGATCAGGGATTTTTGTTACTTCTCCATCCACTGACCCCTCATTTGCTGGTCTTCACAAATCATTTCAAACTTGGATAAACATGTATTTACCTGTAACTGTCTTGTGTTATAAAGTTAAGTGTGATTGCAGTGATCAACTTGAAGGCCCGGTGAAGGAGCCTGCCGTCATCTAAAGCCTGCAAGTGATACTAGGCTAATCTCATGTGGGTTCTCTGCTGCAGCAATAGTTCGCTCAAACCCAGTTCATTGACCATCACACTGTAAACTGACTTTGTTGTTAAGCTTAAGGATGGGAGGGGCTAAAGCTAACAGATAAGCCAGATCACTGTGAGGTTTAGGGGCGCATGCGCTAGATTGTAATTAGGTTCAAGGACACATGTTACATTTCTCCCATGGTGTTCTGTTGTTGTTTTTTTGACAGAATTGTTGTTAGCCATGTAAGCATTTTGCAGGTTTTTTCACTAGGGGTCAGTCCTCAGTGTGGCCCTGTTACCTTCTAGTCTTACTTCATTGCGTTGTCTTAAAACAAACTGCATCTTCCGAGGATACGGTCCTTCTTGATGTGATTTATTGCTGTAAATACATCAACTTAGTTTGCATCACCTAAACAAGAATTGAGTTAGACAAAGAGAGAGCTCAATGTTTATTGATAAGCTGTCCCTCACTAGCTTCAGGTAAGCTTCCTTTTGAGTATATCTTGGCTCATGGCTTGCTATTTGATTTTATAATTTCATATGGACTGTACAAGTTCCCTTTTAAATGGAGCAGGCAGTATGCAGCAGAAACAAGAACCAAACAGGGCACAAATAAGAGTGACTTTTATTTACATAGCATATTTATATTCTATAAAAGAAAATGCACCTCATAAACCCTATCTTCGGATTGTGATCAAGCCTGATTAGATTAAATGGGACAGCTGCCCTAACCTGGCCACTCATCGATGCCATCAGAAAAAAATATCTGAGTCAGCAACTGGGCTGTTGGGTCAGGAATGGCTGCCAGTGCATGACTGGTGGAAAACAATTGGTAGGTCTGGAAATAAATTATGATGCGTGTCAGATTTCCACTCAGTCCCCTTCAGCTTGTCACTATGTCTTTACTGGAAACAGTTGCACATGTGTGACATCAGTGTATGCTAGAGAATACAGAAATCACTCACAATCACACATTTTTTCCCTTAATATCATCATAAAATGCTACAAAAAACCCCCCAAAAACATATAAAGATATTTCATAGAGATCAATATGATTCTGTAGTATAATATTTA